ACATCGACATAGAAATATATTCCGAATGAAATGTTTTGAACCATTATAAAAACAAAACAAGCCGATTATTTGCTCCTCCCAGTTGCGCTGCCCTGAGTTGCAAATGAAGCGCTCCTCCACAGTGTTGCCAACTTGGCCACTTTGACGCTATTTCTAGCAGCTTCTCAGACCCCCTTCTTGACTTCTTAAATCTTAAAAGTACCTAGTGAACACCTCAGAAACATCTCTGGTGACCCTTAGCTACTTTCTGGATAAATGTCGTCGACGTTTCCTGCAGGTTAGCTAAACACTCCGCCTGCGCTCCGGACCGTTCTTCAGGACATTAGGAAAGGGAATGATGTAGTGATGTGTCAGTCGCTAAAGAAACGGCTCTCAGAGTCGGCTCCCTGTTGGATTAACCAGAGTGAGTGAGACACACCGTACCTGCAGACTGCTGAGCCGCTAAAAACGGCTAAATGTGCGCGTGCGGCGCGCTAAACACACATGCAGCTTGCCCCTGATTGCTGTGAGACCGGGTTGGGGGGTGGGGGGGTGCAGCTGTGGTTGGGACAATTATTCCATTAACTGATGGACCTGTAAATACATAGTTTATAAATAAGGTAGAAATAAGTTCCTCACGCTGATAACTAATAACTAACCTCTCTGAGGACACGGTGCTAGTGTATTCTCCTACAGCACCTTGACACGACTCAATAAATGTTATGCAACATTTTGTGAACATCAATTTATTTGCATTAATTTGTTATAAATGCCACTGTATAATTCTTGCTGTCAGTATTTGCCAGATATTGGTATTTGGGTCTGTACTGGTTAGACTTAAATGAGTTAAACCAAGGTCTATAGCCCTTGGGTCATAAACTGAGCTATAAGTATATTGGTCTTTTTATATTGGGAATCAGGAGTTATTTTAGTGATCATCTTGTTTCTTATTTATTTTTGTCCTGATTGTGCCCTGAGCAATTTTATGGCTGAATAAAATCAACACAAATTGAAAAATCGTCTTAAATAATTGAGATCTCAATTTCAGTCACAATAATCGTGATTATTGTTTTCGCCATAATCGAGCAGCCCTACTTTAGCATATCCGGTCACATAATGATGACGTCATATTTAGTGGTCGTTGTGCATCATTTCAGGCCTCGTGGCTTACTGTCTGAACCGCTGAAAAGAAGTGCCTGGCTTATTTTCTAAGTAAAATAAATATGTGCAATACGTTGTCAACATCAGTGAGTCTCTACGTCTATTCTTTTTGTATGTTATATATGTTAAAATATGTGTAAATAGGTCGCTGATTAACCCTTTTTAATTTAGTGTTGTGATGGTTGTAAAAAAAATTCTGAAGGTAGTAAAGAAAAGTATTAAAAAGTAGTAAATTTTACTTAAGGATTGCTGTATATACCCTGGAAAGCTAAAAGATGTAAAGTAAAATGAGTCAAATATACTTTAAGTGCTGCATGAATCTGATCTAGCCATGCGATCTGTAAGCTGTTTGAATCACTGAGGAATGTTTCTATTTATTTATTAATTAATTAAATTTTTTCAAAATTTGAAGTACACTTCAGGTGTTGTACTTGTACGATTTTGGATACACTGTCCTCAGGCTCCAGCTTTGGTTTATATTGATTGTATTAAAACAAAGAAAACAATCTGAAGTTGGTTTTAATGTACCGGTCCGGCCCACTTGAGACTAGATTTCCCTCAGTGTGGCCCCTGAGCTAAAATGAGTTTGACGCCCCTGATCTAAAGGCTCAGGGACTCTTTGCAGGTGTCCCAATTCATTAGCTGGTTAGAGTGTCACACTTTGAGTCTAGAATAATGAACCTTTTCACAATATTCTAACTGTCTGAAATTTTGAATGTGGGGCTTTCATAAGCTGTAAGCCACCATCATCATTATTATAATAAATAAAGGCTGAAATATCCAAGTACACCTGGCTGCAGCACGCAGAAAGGGGTATCGTCGGGCCAGTTGTGAGACCCATAACATATTTGTAAAATGCAAGACTTATGTTGTGGAACTGAATGGGGCGCTGTCGGGCCCGTTGTCAGAGCCATATGAATTACGGTTGTTACAAGTTTACAATTGTTAATACTCTATTCTATGTTCAAATTAAGCAAGATAACTATAATTTACTACATAAGGTCTGAATTTATACCCCAATATGAAAAGGTTCCTTTCAGTGAATCTCTGCCCATGGCCGCTCCAAACATTAATTTGCATTATCTATGGTAGTCTGGTGGCATCATTGTTTGACTTTTGTTTCGTTTCGCCCTCTGCTGAAGCTGGTTCGACTTTAGGTGGTGTCTGCAGTAATTTATTTAGCTAGCTGAAACAGATTTCATATATTTATATTTTAGTTTTTTTTTTCTGCAAAATATTTTATGTCCCTAATGATCTTTGAACTTAGTCAATTGCTCATCACATGTGTCTTTGTAGACCGGATGTATGGTTTTTACGGTGGCGTTCCAGTAGAATTAATTTCAGAAGTAATTTGTCAGAATATCCAAAGAATAGCCAAGTTTCAGAACCAAGACCAGACTAGTTTCAGGGGGAGGAGAAATGCCTGGTAGTGGGCTACTTTCTCCCATTCGCAGGAAAAACCGTTACATCGACCACTTGAGTTGAGACCATCGACATATTGGACAATGGGTTTCCATAGACTCCAATAACACATTTTTGAAGATAAATGGGAGGTGGCCACCACTGCCATTTTGACCGTGTCACAGGTTTCGTCAAGCCCAGACAATTCCACAAAAGGGAAGAGAGGTGGAGCTGAGGGTGGGGCTGTAAGGCTGAGATCAACTGACGACACCCGGTCGAACTAGCTACAAGCTAACCTGAAGCTAACGCGGAGGTGGGAGCTAAGCTAACGGAGGTGGCAACCTAGCTACAACCGGAGTTAACTGTGCACAACACCAGAGCTTCTGAGTCAGAGATACGCCGGGCTGACCGCTGGGTAAAACCAGGTGGAACACAGAGAAGCCACGATCAGACAGATGCGCTGAGCTGCGGGGAGGGGAGAACCGGGTGGAAAACATCGGTTTCCTTCCAGAGCTACACAAGCCGACAGCCCGTGCAGCAGACAGAAGCCGCGATCAGACAGAAATGTGCCGAGCTGTGGGGAGGGGAGAAACGGGTGGAAAACAGAGGTCTCCCGAGAGCTCCACAAGCCGATAGTCTGAACCCAGCTCCACCAACATGTTATATTTCAACCCATTTTCTAAAGTGCAGCATTATGTTAAATTCACTGGGTTTTACCCTGTTACATTTAAATGTCATGGTTAAACAGTACATGTTAAAATCCAAGCTCAGCTCGGCAGTGACCTAAAATACATAAATATAATTTTACTTACTGAAAAAAATGAAGTGGAGACTCCTTGGACACTCTGTTAGTGCAATTAATGCCACAGCAAGTCATTTTGTCCAACAATTGCACAAAAAATATCCAAAAAAGAATACACAAACGCAGACTCAAAATCCCAGAACAGTTTCCAAGCCAGGCTGAGGCTCTACTGAGGCCTTTCCACAGAGCTAGCTCTGTGGTCACGTGGGTCTGATGCTAATTAATTATACAGAATTTTAGGCTTTTAATACACTTAAACAGAGGAGTGAGAAAAAAATTCACCCCCCTCAGAGTTGTCATGAGTGTAAACTAGATAATTTAAACAAAAAACATGTTTTGGAACCAGGCTGTAAACATGTTTATTTCTGCTGTGAAATTGGTATTTTTAACATGGGAGTCAATGAGGATTTGCTCGCTTCTGACACCAGCCCCCAGCGGATGAGGGTGGAACTGCAATTTTTGGTACTTCCGTGATTGCTTCAAGTTTTGAGCTGCATTGTGGGGGCTTGGTTGAGACAGGAAAATGCATGAATGCAGCCAAAAAAAAAAAAAAAAAAAAAAGTTTGGGGGTATTTCTTAGGAGGAAATTACAATATCACATGGTAAAATGTTCCTAAAAGTAGATTTTGCATTATATGGAACCTTTACTAAAACTGTTAAAATAACCTCTCTGTCTTCCTCAATCTTGCGTTTTAGGTTATATTAGTTATAGCGCCCCCTTCAGTTCCCTAACATAAGTGTTACATTTTCAAAATATAGTATGAGTCTGACAACTGGCCTGATGCCGCCCATTTCTGCATGCTGCAGCCAGGTCCTGCTCCAAATATCTGGCTTTGCATGTAATGAGCAGTTTTGCCACAATTAGCTGAAAAAGTATTTTGATTACTGACTACTGATTACTTCATTTAAAAGTAACTTGGTTACTTTACTGACTAATGTATGTCAAAGGTAACTGAGTTAGTTTGGATGTTATTTTAAAAATTACTTTCAACAGCTGCTACTAGGGCTGGGCGATATGGCCTAAAATTAATATCACGATATATTGAGGATTTCACCTCTAACGATAAGTGGACGGTAACTACAGGTATGTGCAGAAACAAGTTGTCCACTAGATGGGGCTGTCACATGTATCACATTGAGTCACATTTTTATGTGACTCAAGGTGGTACAGCTTCTTAAAGGGACATGAACGCTACCAACCTACACATATCTTTTCGTTTTTTTATTATCAAATTTATTGACATGGGAAAAATTATCATGATAAGAGTCAGAAATTTCAATAATGATAAATTTTCGATTTATTGGCCAGCCCTAGCTGCTGCAAACTTAAATTGGTTTTGCGATGCTAATGCAATGCACAAGGTAGAATGGTAACAGCTAGCATCCAACGTTAGCAAACTGATGTAAAGTCGAATGGCACCGGGATCCCATTCCTCAGACTGGAACCGCTACTCGCAGTGCAAAATTAACACCAACCAAAAATAGCACAATCAGAACACTAAACAAGAAGAAAGAAGACCCTCATGAGCATTTGGAGACATTTGTAAAACTTCCTTTCAGATAGCAACAGGAACTTGTCACCAAAAAGCCCAGTGAGATACTGGGTTTCTAAACTGTTTCCCCTGTTCATCCTCTTTATTTTTTCCATGTCCTCTAGCTTGGTGTAGACGAGAGACGAGTAGACAACAGGACAATCTACATCGGTCACCAGTCCTCTCTTGTCAATGAGGATTTCATCCCACCCAAGTTCTGTGACAACAGGATTGTGTCATCCAAGGTGAGAAGCACTTTCCACCTCTGCTCACACTTCAACATACACCGTGGATAATCCAGTTCTTGGTTATGGGAATGTGTGTGTTACTGCACCCATGAAGTGTTGCCGTAAGATCACATTTGACCTTTGAATACTTAAATGGCCTTCATGTTTATTTAAACATGAGTGTAATCCCATCACAGTCTGTCATTGCAGTATTCATGTGGTAATGTATTCAAATTATAGATGTGATGTCCAATTTTCATCACTCTTGAGATGCTAAAAGGTACTACATTTATATCCTTCAGATGTTCCTAAACTTTCTAGCTGCATTTTCTCCCTCCACCTGTCTGAATTGTGCCTTACATGCCTTTAGGCATTATTTTTTTCATCTAAAAACATTTGGAATGCAAAATGAGCTGTTGAACAATCCCACCCATTCCTCTGTCCTTACTCTCCACGGGCTCATCTAAGCTGCCAACTGAAGGAGATGGCTTGCTCGGACTGGCAGTGAATTATGTGATTTGCTAAAATTGAACGAGTGGGGTGAACAGTTTAGTTCTTCCCCATGGACTCTAATAGGTTGCCTCCCCAGCCCCCTCCAGCTAGGTCTTACCCATCTAACTCATGTCAACAGCAAGCTCAGGCAGGTCCAGGTAGCTGGCTTATGGATATCATACATGAAAGTGATGATGACGAGGAATCTGTTTGTGTGTGACGGTGGTGGGGGTGGGGGGGTAGGATTTACAGTGGTGCAGTGGATCACAGAGACCTGGGACAAATCATCAATAGGCTCCTGCCAGTTCGTTGGGGTAAACAGTCCTCGATTACCCCAGCTGTAGTGTTCATGTTCTCTACTGCCTCTGCTCTTCATCATCTTTTAGCTTTTGCACTTCAGTACCAGCAGTCATGGCCGTTTAAAAAAACAGAGCAAAAACAGTGAGAAGTGTTTTGCTTCTGTGTTGAAAAAAGACCAAATAAAGAGATAAATGACAAATCTAAATTGGTGGAACATTGTTGTTCTCAATGTGTGCTTTTCTGGAAAGCTTATCAAAAAGAGATTCCAATTTTATTGAAACTACTTCTCTGTTTTCTTTTTAAGATTCAAACAGAATCTATAAGTTAACATTTTAAATGTCTGTCATCATGTTCAAACCCTTTCTTTGGCTTAACTCAATTTATTTTAAAACAGGCCACAATGTGACTAATTTCATCTCCTTTTTCCTGCAGTACACAGTGTGGAACTTTCTACCAAAGAACTTGTTTGAACAGTTTAGAAGAATTGCCAATTTCTACTTCCTCATCATCTTCTTGGTGCAGGTAAGAACTAGCCTTGTCAGTGTGCCAACCAAGCCCCCACAACACGGGTCTGAAAGTGAGGCCAACGCGGAAATGAAATAAATTGTAGTTCCACCCTCATCCGCTGGGGGCTGGTGTCAGAAGCGAGCAAATCCTTATTGACTCTCATGTTAAAAATACCAATTTCACAGCAGAAATAAATGTTTACAGCCTGGTTCCAAAACATGACACGTCTCACCTTTATGTTAATATTGTTTTATTTGATGCACTCCACTTTGAACTGCACCAATCCAGCGACTGCTGCATTTTAATAACTAGTATTAAAGGTGAATACACCAATATTTGCACAAGAATAATTTCTGTTTTAAACTCTCAGTGACACACTTTGCAGGGTGGATTTGGCATTTAATTTTTCTTGGCGTCTGGAAAAACATCTTCTTTTTCCCCCTTTATTTGACTTTCTGCCCCCTTTATTTTGCTCCAAGATCATTACTGGGCTGGCCCTATAACAAACGTTTTACACCCCTGCTTAGTAGACTTAATGAAGTATTTTTAAGCCAGTATAAAAATGACTGAAACACAAATTTACATATTTGGCATTACTGACCAATATTTTTTATTTAATTTATTTGTTGAGAACATCAAGATGCATTACAGTGAACATTATAATAAGCTGGGCGGACACTGTGCGACTTTTTCACTCGTAGCACTCAGCTTCAGCTCAAACTACGACTTCAGCGCAGGGTAGATCTCACGAGTCATGTGCTCACGCTGTACGTCTGGTAGCAACACGTCGGACCTAAAAATATGTTAAAAATAGCAGTTTTTACGCAACACGTCAGGCTTTTTTGTCTTGTTTTGCCTGTTGTCCTTCGGGAGTGCTGCAGGAGGACACACAGGGATTTATGGGGGTTGGATGAGGAAAACGAAATAAAGTAAATCTGTGTTTTGTGATCAGTTAAATTTGACATGAACACGACAAACACACTTTCTTGACAATCATTGTGAGTAAAAAAAACGAAATAAAAACAAACAACGTGTGTTATTAGGGAAATAGCGGGCGAGCGGAGTTGATGCAGGATTGCGAATGCGCCGTGAGCGGTTCTGATACTTTTTGGGTCGCAGCTGCTCGCTGCGCTGCTTCAACCCTCATGAGGAACGAGATAAATATCAAACACTCCAGAAGTCCGTGCGAGCTCACGATTGCTGATCGGTAGCTGGTCACGTGGTGTTAATCGCCTCTCGTAACCCCCTGTACACTACACGACGCTCAGCGCAAAACTCGCCCCGATCTTGTGGATTCTCGCACGAGTGGAAAATCTGCTCAAAAAAGTGAAAAAGCCGCACAGTGTCCGCCCGGCTTTACTGTCTGTGTGTGTGCGTTGATGCCTGGGCCGAGCTGACGGAGCTCCCGGCTGCAGTTTTGTGTGTAGGGAGGGGCGGGCGCTCTATCTGACTGGCCAATCACAGAGCGTGAAGACAGTCAGTTACCCAATGTGGATTTCATTCAGCACGATTACAGATATTTTCGAGTTTTACACTCGTTTCTTGCTCGTATTCGTCAAACATGCTTTATCCGTACGCTCATAGATGTAACCACCCTGCCCTGCCTCCTCCTCCTTGCTACTTGCCGGCTGTGATCACAAGCAACAACACAGTAGTTCCCGCTGCTTCTTCGGTAAACGGCGCAAAAAAAAAATAACATCAATAAAACTTGGGATGTTGTAGGCGTGGCGGTGGGATTTCAGCCGTGGCGGCCCGCCACGGCTACTCCTATGTAAGGGAAACCCTGCATTTGAGCAGAAATAAAACACATACAGGTGTCAGACTCTAGGGGAACAAGGACACAACACACACACACACACACACACACACACACACACACACACACACACACACACACACACACACACACACACACACACACACACACACACGCGCACACACACTCTTACACACACACACGTATTTTTATCATAGTGGGGACCATCCATTGACTTCCATACATTTTTGTGACTGTATTATGCCTAAACCATACCCTAACCATAACCAATGCTGATCTATTCCGAACCTTAACTAAAATTTAATTCACACCATACCTCTAAAACCAACTGGTAAGCTTCTAAAAACAGTGAGGACCAAGAAAATGTCCTCACTTTGTAGGGAAAATGGTCAAAATGGTCCTCAGTATGTAGTTTGTACAAGAACACACACACTAGGGCTGTAGCGAAGCCTCGACGAAGTCGACGGCTCGATTCTAAAAATTTGTCGACGTCAGATCCGGAAGTCGACGCACCGCGCCCACTTGTTGCATCCCCAGGAGTTTGTAAATAGAGAAGGAATCTGCCTGTTTTTCCTCTAGTTCGCCCTCTTCTCCGCCTTCACTAACATCTCCGCCAAATACCGAAGACCCGGAACAACGTCCGTCCACTACTAGATTATTTTCCTGTTTTGCCCGCCTTCGTCTCCCGGCAACAGACAACAACTTCCGGGGTCAGATGCGCTGCTTCGTGTCTATCGCAGATGTAGAACATCACCGGGAGCGCTTCTCCCTTCATTAAGGAGCTTCTTTCAGACACGAGGAGAGCTGTTTTGGTGGTAGCAGTCTCTCCTCCGTGCTGGTCTGTTTGCTGCTGGGTGTTTTTGGTTTATTTAAACTTGGTAACTTGAACTTAATGTTGGTAAAGCTACTGTTAGCATCTTCGCTAACAGCTTCTTGCGTTGGGATAAGCTGTTACGTTTTGATTTAGAGTTCATCTTTTTTGTGGTGTAGATCTCCCTTTTATTACATTTAGAGTGTTGTGGGTTTTCGGTTTAGTGTAAAATATCACCTGAGTTTGGTTTAACCCGTAAGACCACTCGCCTCACGCACATAAGTGACCAAAACAAAGCAGCATGGAGACACTCCATCTTCTACCACCTCTCAGGCAGCAGCCTGCACTCCCAAGTTCTACACGTCACCAGAACATAACCAAACAACACAATAAACGCAGTGGTATACAAAATGGAAGGCCTGTAGTGTTTATTCTCTTACAGTAAGAATTTATCAATTTTTTTGAGGAATTTATTTGAGATTTTCTGGTTTTTGTTAATTGTGCAATAGAAAAATAATCATTAGATTAATTTTCTAAATAGTCATTAGAATAGTCGACTATTCGATAAAATAATCGTCAGAATAATCGTTTTAAAAATAATAGTTTACCCCCAGCCCTAACACACACACACACACACACACACACACACACACACACACACACACACACACACACACACACACACACACACACACACACACACACACACACACACACACACACACACACACACACACACACACACACACACACACACATATCTGATTGCTTTTTGTGTCTCATGTCACAGGAAGAACAGGCAGATTATTATGTGACCTCTCAAACACATGCAGCAAGGTGAAGTTAAAATCCCTATAGTGCCGCTTTGTGTGCATTTACCAGACTGTTCATGGATGTGAGGTCACCGATTAACGGTGCAACAATGTGATAATATACCTGTGTCTGCATCAGTGTTTGGAACGTCACTTTTAAAAAGTAATTTGCTATCGTTACTGATTCTTTGTCAAAAAAAGGTAACTCAGTTACTTACCGAGTTACGAGATTATAAAAGTAACTAATTACCAAGAAAAATAACTGCTTAGTTACTTTTTTCATTAAAGAATGCAAGAAAAATGGGTTCCCCTCTTAATTAAACTTACTTAATTTACTTTTTATTTATTTTTTATTTTTTTTCAAACAGAATGGATGTCTGAATGCTGGTGACAAGCCTTACAGATTTACTCTCAGGTGGAGCATCAAAGCGTCTGCATTAAATGTCACGCCTGATACTTAAAACCATCGACATATACATATATGGACAATGGGTTTCCATAGACCCAATAACACGTTTTTGAGGAGAAATGGGAGGTGGCCACCACCGTCAGGTTCCGTCAAGCCCAGACAATTCCACAAAAGGGAAGAGAGGTGGAGCTGAGGGTGGGGCTGTAAGGCTGGGAACAACTGACGACATCCGGTCGAACTAGCTACAAGCTAACCTGAAGCTAACGCGGAGGTGGGAGCTAAGCTAACGGAGGTAGCAACCTAGCTACAACCGGAGTTAACTGTGCACAACACCAGAGCTTCTGAGTCAGAGATACGCCGGGCTGACCGCTGGGTAAAACCAGGTGGAACACAGAGGTCTCCCGAGAGCTCCACAAGCCAGCAGCCGCACAGCAGACAAGCGCCGCTGGGATCTGAGATGCGCAGAGCTGCCGCTGGGGAGAACCGGGTGGAAAGGTTTCCATCCCAGAGCTCCACAAACCAGCAGCCCGCGCAGCAGACAGGAGCCGCGATCAGACAGAGATGCGCCGAGCTGCGGGGAGGGGAGAACCGGGTGGAAAACATCGGTTTCCATCCGAGAGCTCCACAAGCCGGCAGCCCGCGCAGCAGACAGGAGCCGCGGCGATCAGAGATGCGCCATGCTGTGGGGAGGGGAGAAACGGGTGGAAAACAGAGGTCTCCCGAGAGCTCCACCAGCCGATAGTCGGAACCCAGCTCCACCAACATGTTATATTTCGACCCATTTTCTAATGTGCAGCATTATGTTAAATTCACTGGGTTTTACCCTATTACATTTAAATTTCATGGTTAAACAGTACATGTTAAAATCTAAGCTCAGCTCGACAGTGACCTAAAATACATAAATATAATTTTACTCACAGAAAAAAATGAAGTGGAGACTCCTTGGACACTCTATTAGTGCAATTAATGCCACAGCAAGTCATCCACAAAAATAAACAATAATGAACAAGAGTCTGCTTCTAGACCTGCAGAAAGAGAAAAGAGGGAAAAAAATGGGACACTCAACAATACAACAGGAGCAAGCTATCACTGCGTCAACTTGAAGAAATATAAGACCAACATTGTTTAACTGAACAATCACATGATAATAAATCATAGTGCATTTAGTGGCAACAACAGCCTTAACACGTGTTGAATGTGCCCACG